AATAAGCACCTTGCCTGCAAAGACAACAAACAGTGGTATTTAGCGACCTAACGCGCCCACGCCTTGGATTACAGTAACCCACTTATAGTTGCCTAGCTATATCCGCTTCTTTTTCCTATGTCCTTCTAATGCTGTAATAACTAACTATAATAAAATCTTGCCTATTATAAAGCTAGTCTTGTTAAAGTTGTAGATATCGTCGTCCACAATACCCACTTCTGCCTTGTCGCCTGGACTAAGTCGAACCAGCGCTGGATAGCCACTGGATCCTTGCAGGCGGCTTGCTGGTGATTATAGGGACGGCTCTAGCGCGTACGGAGCTTAGGAGTCCGCTTAACGAAGTTGTTAACCTAGTTCTTGCCAACAGGGTTGCCACTACGCTCCTCTAATAGTTTATTAGCTATTACTTGAACGTTAAGCTTTGTAGGCGCAAATCCTCGCGTAGACTCTTTAAGAATACGCTTAACTATAGCCTCCTCTTCTAGCTTATCTAGACGCTTTGATTTTAGCTCGCAGTCGCGTTAAGGGCGCTTTCTAGCGCGTTGATCAGATAGAGTTCTTTGTAGGACGTTGTAGATAGTAGTAGCACAGTTTACACTCTAAATACGTTGCAACTAGACGTTAAAAAGAGTAAGTTAAAGATTAGATTTAGAATATATTAATAGATAGTTGCGTTGTTGAGACATCACGCGTTATAGTGATGAAGTTGATGGGCTGGTGGGGCGTTAGCGACTCGCTTGGGTTAGCGACTCACTTGTGAACCACGTTATATAGTAGATTAAGTATAATAGACTTTTTCTTATTAATAATATCATGATTATTTAGTAATCTTTATTAGATTTCTAGACCTATACTAATTTTCTGTGATAGGCTATGTTATTGTAACTAAGACTGCGCTTAGTAATCGATTGCAATGGCGATTATACGAGCTTAAGTATCAACTACATACACAGCATAACGCGCAGCTTATTTAGCTTATGCTCTACCTTTCTAGCGCATAGATGGCGTATGTGGTTGTATACTTGGCTTAGTGGGCCTAACTATTATAGTAAGATTAGCACTAGACCTATCTAAATGTTACATGGGGTCTTAGGCTATACTTCCTTAGTCTTGGTCTAGACAGCAAGCTGGTTTCTCTTGCGGCATAGGTTCAGCGGCGGGGTTGGCGATGGCTGCTACTGCAAAGAGGCAGATAGTAAGAATTGAAAACTGAGGGAACTGCATCTTGGTAGTGATTGAGAAAAGGTCTTAGGTGTGAGATGATGATATTCAATAGTCACAACCAGAGCACACGCTTTAAATACATGAAATCTGGCACTATTAGTCTCTTGTAAGACAAATATAGTTTGGACATTGAAACTTTCTGATGATGGTTACGTTGACATCTCTAAGTTATAATTGAATTTCGGGTCGGTATTCGTTGTATCTGACGTACAAAGTTCATAATACAAAGTATAACTGCTCTGATAATATATAATTCACCAATAGTAAGTATATAGCCGCGTGTACACTATGTCAAGTAAACTTTGAGTAGAGTTAAGGCGAGTTAGAGTCACCGAAATCTCGTTTGTCATAACGTACGTCCCTGAGTGTTGGGCACCCGCCGCGCTGGAACAAATGAGGGGTACTTTAACTCTCAACACTTCGCTTTCTTCGGTGCATTGAATAAAGCTTATTGGAAAATTTATTTAGGAACGTTCAACAACGTTTCTTGTAACGCCGAGGACGGACTTGTTGATATGAAGTTCGTAGGTCAAAGTTTTGTAACTGGGGCCGTGCTTAAGAGGTTATTCCAAACTTGATTAAGTGATTGAATACCATGCTCAGCTAATTACAGCTTTGCAAAGTCTTGAGTCTAGGGTTTTTAGCTAATCGTGAGCAAAACGTTATATAGCGTCGGAATGACAAAACTTTGGCTTGACACCTTCGTAAGCTAATCAGACTGATCTAGCCAGGTTTAATAAGCTCTTAACCTAGAAAAGGTAGTAGTTACACTCCGGTATTAGGTAAGACGGGCTTTATTAGCTTTGTTGTTAACATGTATGGCCGTGAAGCCCCTGCACACGGCATATTGACAAATGAATCTGCTGATCAGTTTGGCTATTGCCCATTCTAAGATAGATTATGCTTTTCACTAGGTATCTATCATGTAAATGTTCTAGAGGCATTAGCTCTATATAAAGTGTACGGCTTCTTCTCTCAACATGACAACCATCTATCATTCTCAATATTCCTCAACGTCACTACAGCAAACACAACTTCGCTATCAACCAACAAATTATTCACCATGAAGTCTTTTGTCCTATCTCTTCTTATGGCTGCTATTGTTGTGGCCACCCCGGAGCCTGCACAACGTCTTACCGGAATCGAAGCTCGAGAGCTGTTGCAGATACGCCAATCATGCAGTGTATCATGCCCTAGCGGCGAAAGTTGCAATTGCAGAAATGGTGCTGCCTACTGCTGCCAAGGGGCGCCTACCTATTCCTGCGGGTGGGCTGGTCCATGTTAAGATCAAGAGGCTACTTGATAGGTGTTACACGGGGTTAGACTATGCTTCTCTAGTCTTGATCCAGGTTAGGGTGAAACAGCTAGGAGCTATAGACCTGTTAGATTGTGGGAGGTTCTCAAAGATAGTGAAATTCATCATGTGTCAAGATCAGAATCTGTAGTAAAATCCGTCCCCGTGAGCCGAAAAACCTTGCCTGCCAAAAACAACCAACTAAATCGCAACGGCTATAAGGAAGTCTGTGATGTCGATACGATTGGCCATTCTCGGCACACAGAGTTTTTCGGCACATAGGGGCGGACGTTAGTTAGCCAACAGCCGACGCCGCGCAGACGTTCATCTGTACCGCCCCACGTCACTCCCCTATGGGAGCCAGCTGTTCCTAGAGGCCTACCGTTTCCTCTTCATTACTATCTACAATTTGGCTGGCACCATATCTAGACAATGGTTCTACTAACAGTATGCTGTGTTTGTAGGCTCATAGAGGCGTGCTGCCTCGTGTTTTGCGGCTGCGATACCTACGGTCTCGCCCCTCGCGCTCGGCTGTCGTCTACGATCCCAACATGCCTAAGGATCTGCGCTTGTTCTACAAACCGGATAGCTTTATTGGCTAGCTGTGGCTTACTTAGGATGGCCCGGAGGTTATGTCGCCCGCGGAGGTTACCGAATACCCAGTTCTAGAGGTCCTTAAGTATCCTATAGTGGAGTAGGATGTGGGCGATAGTCTATCGTCTCTCCCCGCACTAGCAACGGGGACTAGTAACACCTGGCACTCTTTGGGTGAAGAGAAAGTCGCGTAGGCCTATCTTCTTAGTGCGTAGCTACATTAATAGCACGCTCTATTGTTTAGTAAGGCCTCCATGGATCTAAAGTACTTTCTTAGTAGGCTATAGTGTGTATCTGTAAGTTACTCGGCCTTTAGCCTCTGCTCGCCACTTAGCTGCCTATGCTCGCTTCGTTTGAGTCCTACACTAGCGCCTGACGGTTAATCTAATTGAATAGAGCCTAGGCGGCGTATCTGCTGACAGTTGTCTACTGCTGTCCTCTCTCCATCCTGTGGCCTCATTGGTGGCCCTGTCGCCAGTCTCGTTTCCTGGGATACTGGTGTGAGCTGGGACCCACCTTATTGTCTTTTTACTAAGAGCACAGTCGGACCATGCCAGACCGTGCCCAAGGTTGCTTACTAGCTCATCCCGAATCCGATCAGGCAAGTCAGGCAATGCATCGTCCCACCCTTTCCGTGGAGAGCTCTTGGTATCGACAGGGTGATAAAATGCCTTGATACACAGCAAGTTTCACCATACCTGTCGAGCTGTAAGGTCTATGTCCAACTTAGCAGGGTGTTGCTGGCAGTGAGGAATGACACTATGCTTACTTAGCTTCTTACGCTTCACAAACTGCGTCGTGTCGTCATCCACGGCACATTACATTTCCAACCCCCTACAGCCTGCCAAAATGGCTTAGCTTAACGACGTTTCTATCGAAAGTAGGTTTACTACCACTCCTAGTTTCAATTTTCTAGAAACTCATATTGTTACCAATGCCGTCTCATTGACAGGGAAAACTCAGAATTCCCGCGGCCGAGCCACAGCCAACGGTCCAGGCTGTCCTGGAGCGTGAGAGAAAGTACGGATTGGCCTACCAGCAATAATCATGCGAATATGTCCGAGAATGTGCTGCATTCACCGCTCAAGACATTCAAGACACCTTCTCCTTTACTCACTAACACTTGATCATTACCAGACAAACGACAAAAATACTCTTAATCGCTTCACGTCTCAAAAGATCGGTTTTTATCTTCAAGCTAAATTACTATAGCTGAATTAGTTTCCTAACCCTCCTTTCGATATCGTGAAGAAAGTTGCCAGAAGAAAAATTTGCTTCATTCAATTTGCTCTGCTCTTCGGTTTTGCAGCAGGTATGTATATTTTTGACAATAGCACAAAATCTCGCAAACGGGCTGCTAATTCGAACATCATAGCCGCTTGCCGCGACAATAATGATTGTTTCAATCATTGCTGCGACAAGAACAAGGGAATCTGTTGCCAATATGGCTTCACACGATGCAACACGTGTTGCAATGGGCCTTCTTTTAGTGATCCATGTAGATGTTAAGCACACATGGAGAGCATGCCGGGTTTCTGTGAGGTAGTTCGCGCGAGAGATGATGCCGTTCAGCTTGAGAGCTCGTCGATGCGGGACGTTGACTGGACATAACGCTCGTACCTGCGCAGTTTAGATAGATAGTGCAAGTGATAGTAGCGATTCTAATAATTAATCGAGTATACTACAATAGTTTATTAACTGTGATAAAAGTTTGTGATAACATCTCGTCGTCGACGCGCTAGTGGCGAGGTGCTCGCTCGCTTATGAACCATGTTATACTATGTAAAAGCTATGTTTTATTATTGAGGTGATTATATCGTTGAGGTAATAGGGCTCTCCTATGTTGGCCTCGTTATACTAATATATATAGCTCTAGCCCTAACCCTTCCTACTCACCATTGCCCTTGCAGTATCCACCTGAATTGAAATTGGAGTTGAGTTCTTTACAGATCGATTTGAATTTCACTTCCTCCACAGTAGTTACTACACAACAGGTTCCAATGTCAACCTAAAATCAACGCGTTAGTTTGGCATAGAGAGTAAATTTAATGGAATACAAGTCATACAACAGGAAGGTTATAAGCAGAGTCAATGCATTTTCCTTCGACCTTGGCAAAGTCTGCCCATTCACACCACACTCTCGTGCCTGCGAGTGCGGGGACAGCTCCAAAAAGGATAGTGGAGATGACAATAGCGAATTTCATATTTGGCCTATTAAGAAAGAGGTATATTGCGTAGTTATTGTGGTTATAGATTTAGGCCAAGTGTAAGTAGAATGATTATGTATGTAAACTCTAGCAGTCTTGAAGTACTACTTAGACTGGTGCATATAGTCCTTTATATTTCACGGTGCGACTATAGGAGGATCTTAGGGGTCTGATGCACGGACTAGTATACGGCCTACGCCTTACGTATATTTAGTCGATGTATTACGCGTGAAGAGTGATAAGAAGGTAGCGGTGAAGCATAGAGTTTTTACACTCTCATGCACTTGCAGCTTCCGCTTTGCGCACGCGGCTCAATTGTCATTCCACGCAGGACACGGACCCGCCTGGTGTACGCTTGTCCAAAGATAGTTACAGCATGTAAACGTGATGCGTTGATTGGTCTGAGAGTTTGGAAGAAGACGCATCGCTGACAGAAACTAATTGTTACACGGGGTCTGGATCTATACTTCTCTTGCCAGGTCCCACACTAAGGCTGGTGAGCTTTACGCTAGTGTTCCGTGAGGTTATCTAGCCATTCTTAGTAGAAAAAAGTTATAGATATAACTAGGGGTTTTAACAAACACTAATCTATATTGCTATAGACTAACAAGTAATAATCTTATTAAGTAAAGTAACTAGTAAGAAAGTATAGTTTAAGTTGACTATAACAAGAGTAAATAATGAAATCTATCTATCCTTATGTCAGATAAGTGGCAGAATCCGGGTGCGGACTCGAGCACCAGGATTCTGTGATCCCAACCAGTCAGGGCTGATCGCCAAGACCTAACCCTAGGCGAGGCTGATACTTAGCGGCCTACCTAATACAAAAAGCAATAGCGATAGCTCTTATAAGGGGCGCGCCCTCGCGCCCCTACAGACGACAGAACACACAACAACTCAATACACTCAGTTTCTATACTTAAGTTTATCACAGTCTTTTATCACAGTGACCCAAAAACAGTCCTTGATCAGAAACCCCTCACAGTCTGACAATTAAGAGTCTCACTGCCTTTACCAAGCTAATCAACATGAACGCGCAATCTTCTCCAATCAACGCAACCGTTATCTTACGCGACGAGAACGACTATCG